TTTCCTTTTGCCGAATTTTTTCTATTGTGTTCCCATTTTAAGTTAACAGCACTTGAAATATTCCAAGTTCTGGGCTTTTATGAGATGCGTGCTTCCCCTATTCTGTGGGATCTTTATACTCACCCGCTTCTTTAAAGGACAAAACTTTAAATGTGACAATGTACAAGTACCTTTTCCTTTTGTTTTCCATGTTTCTCTATTGTATCTTTAAAAAAAAAAAAAATCACTGCCTAATCCAAGGTTCAAAGTCCTGTACCTAGATCTTTATTGAAAATGCTTATAATCTGAGCTCAGATATTTATGCCTTTTATAGTTGTTAGATGAACTTAACTTTCTACACGTGGCTTGTACTCTGCCTTCGCTGTCATTTGTTGCAGCTTGCTCTTTTCTGGCTGGATTGAGCTGGCACCCCTTCTGAAACACAGTCTCAGTAAATTCCAAAGTTGCGCAATACCAACCACACTCAGTCAAGCACATGATAGAAAAAGCAACCGAACATGATCAAGATCTGAGATGTAGCCAGGCACCTGTGATCCCAGCACTCGGGAAGGCAGAGGCAGGCGGCTTTTTGTGAGCTTGAGGCCAGCCTGGTCTACCAAGTGAGTCCTGGACAGCCAAGGCTACACAGAAAAACCCTGTCTCAAAAAAACAAGAAGAAAAAAAAAGATCTGAGATGTAAGCTAGGTGTGGATGGCACAGCCTCTAGCACTGGAGAAACTGAGGCAGATGGATGCCAATTTTGAGGCCAGCCTCAGCTACGTGGAACCATCTTGAACACAAACACATACAGACAATCTCAGTTAAAATGCTTCAAATGCCAGGCTCTGGGCATGCCAAGCAAACTCTCTTCCAATTGGGCTCATCCCTTGCTCCTAAAGCCAGTTTTAAAAAGATAAGCTAAAGACAAGAACATAAATTAAAACTTTCTTTTCCTAATCATTTTTCAGAATCAGCTTCTCTGACGGGGCCTCGTGATACTTCAACAGCTACTGATTTGTGCAAACTTAACCTTGTCTATCTCTCTTAAAAGCTCTTATTAAAAAAATAAAAATAAAGTGAACAGACCACTGATAGTCAGGACTTCCTAAGGTTGGGCCAATTCATCGCTGTGGGATAGTGTTAGTCTGGGCTGGAAATGTGCTTTCGTTCTCAAGAAGAAGCATTTGTAAGTTACTTCTGAAAAGGGACTGTGGGCTTTCCTTTCTTTCCTCCCAGTTAGAACCTTCTGCATTTCAGCAGAGCTCTAACCTGTCTCTTTGCCTCCACAGCTGCTGCACCAAGAACACTGCAAGCATCGAGTATGGTGGCACACACCTGTAACCTAGCACTCAGGGAGGCAGAGGCAGGTGGATTGCTGTGAGTTCAAAGCCAGCCTGGTCTACGAAATGAGTCCAGGACAGCCAAGGCTACACAGAGAAACCCTGTTTCGAAAAACCAAAGGTTGGAGGTGGGGGGGAAGAGAATTGCAAGCACTGAAGAGGAACTCAGTAAATATCATGTAAGACAACCCCGCCTTTGCCTGGGGTTCCCTTCTGCTAACTTAACCTTCTATCTAGAGGTTATATCTAACTTTACTGACTTTCTCTTTTCTTTTTAAAATAAGGTCTAATGAGACCCTGGCTGACCTGGAGGACTGCCTATATGGGCTGAGGAGATGGCTCAGGGGTTGAGACGGCATGCCAAGGACTGAAGTTCAGTTCCAGCAGTCAGGTCGGGGGACTCACATGACTCCAGCTCCAAAGGACCCGACTTGCTCTGGCCTCTGTAGGCATATGCACAAAGGCCCCACCCCACACAGTAAGATAATAATAATCAACAACAGCAGGCTGGAGGGGTGGCTTCATGGTTAAGAGTGTGGACTGCTCTTCCAGAGGACCCATGTTTGGTTTCCAGCACCCACATCAGGTAGCGCATAACTACCTAGAACTCCAGTTCCATGGGATCTAGTGTCTACCTACACATGCTCATAACACACTCCACATGCACACGTGTACACGTCATTAAAAATAAATCCTTTAAAAGAAACACATCTTTAAAAAAAGATCACATAGGTAGCACGAAACAAGCAACAGGGCTGGAAATGTAAGTCAACATCAGAGCATTTGTCCTACATGTGAGAAACTCAGGACCAATACCCAGTAAGACACAGACAACAGACAAGAGGAATTAAGGAAACGTGTGCTTTTATTTATTCTTGTTTTAGAATTTTTAAAAACAATTTATTAGGAGGAAGGCATGCACACACCATGGCACATGTGAAGGCCAGAGGACAAATGTGCGAGTTTGTTCTACTGTTCTACCATGTGGGTTCCAGGGACTAAACTCCGGTTGTCAAATCTGGCATCAAGTAACCTTACTCACTGACTAGAGAGGGAAACAGAGTCTAACTTTATAGTCCAGGCGGGACTAGAACTAGGTCTGTTGATCAGGCTGGTTTTGAATTTGTACCAATCCTCCCAGCTCTGCTTCCAGGCTGCAGGCGCTATAGGCATGTTCTACCAAACTAGGCTGTTATATTTTTAGAACAGTCCATGAATTAAAATTAAAATCACTGGAACCACACCTGAAGTGAGCTGCAGACAAGATGGAAGCATCTCCGCGTTGCCTGTCCTTCTACACCCTAGGGCTCCTTGACCAGGAGTACAATTGGGGGCAGTTTTGGGAGCTGGAAAAGCACTTCAAGATGGAGTCATACCCAGATCTGAAGGCCTGAAAGGTCCTGGCCACCAGACTCAACCTGAAGAAGGAACAGGTGAGACTTGGTTCATCCAGCATTCCTTGGAGCAGGAGATCCGCCCTCCCTTTGCCGGGCTGCAGCAGTCGGCCGGGGATGGCACCTCTTCTTGTGCTTCCCACGAAGGCCACTGCTGCCGTGGAGCTGGAGATCCAGGCTCGCTCCCATCAACCCCTCAGAGTCCTCAACCAGCTGTGAACATAACTGCTGACTCTCGTTGCCCAAGGGGCCACTCCAACACGTAGCACAACCGCCCTGACTCCTGCTGCACCAAACTCACCAAAATGCTGGATGCTTTCCAGAGACTCGGGGTCAATGCTTCAACCCCTGGGTGCTAAGCCAGATGGCACGGGACAGAAATGGCCTGGCTGAATCTGCATGGCCCGGGCTTCCCATAGACCCTGCAGGGCCACAACCCACAGGCTGGGGGCTGTGCTTCCAATTCTTTTAATACCCTCCCATGCCCCAAGAGGTGGCCTGTACCCCAGGCTAGTTATTAACTCAGTATGTAGCAGAGAATGACCCTCCAGGTCCCAAGAGCTGATTACAGGCCTGCATATACCACCAGAACAAACATTTCCCCTGGCTTCTTTTCCTTTTGGTTTTGCTTTCTGATACAGGATCTCACTTTATAGCCTAGGCTAGCCAGGAACCTGGAGAGGCCATCCTGTCTCAACCTCCCTGGTGCTGAAATTAACTGGTTTACACTGCTAGCTTTGTGACCTTTCTATATCATTCATTTTTTGTCTACGATTATTCTTGTTTTATTTGATTTTTTTTTTTTTTTTTTTTTTTTTGAGTGGGCGAGATTTACTAGTGCTTCTCAAATTGCTTCTTAGGAACTTGTTTCGGGAGTTAGATCTGGGAGTGGCAGACTGATAAAATTACTGATAAATAAAATTTATTTTAAAAAAATTAAAAGCATTAAAAGCACATGATGAGTCTTTGGTAACATGGTGTTATGATTTGTGTAAGAAGGGTTTTCCCAAAACACATGTTGAAGGCTTCTTCCCCACTCAGTAGATGTCACAGAGAGGGAAATGGCTCCTGAGGGACCTGATCTCATCAACAGCCAATCATAAAGTTGGGAGGTGGAAGAAATGAGAAAGTGAGGCCTAAACGGAATAAGCAATACCCTGGGAGCTACTGCAGCAAAGATGTGTCTTGTTGCCTTGCCTTCCTGTGTCTGGTTCCTAGCCGCTGTGGGTGGGAGGGCCCACCCCACCCTGCCCTCTCTGCTATGGTGTCTTTCCTCGTGTCAAATCAAGGGAGCCAAATGGGTGATAGAAACCTCTGAAACCATGAGCTTCTTTTTGTTTCCTCTCAGGGTTTTGTCACAGTGACCAAAGGCTAACATACACAGAATTAAAAATAAATAAATTGTGAAGGAGAAAATGATTAGAACCTAAAATCTTGTAAATTACCTGCACAAGACCAAGACGCTCTCCTTGCTACGTTCACTGGACAGAACCTGGTGTAAGGAAGGCAGGTATTAACAAAGTTGGCTGCATTTGTTACACTAAACATAAACCACCTATAAAAACATGGCTGAAGGGAATGGATATATGTGACATGTAAAAATGATGTCTCCCCACTCGCTTGTATTTTTCCAGTCCTCCCTAAGCTTGTGATAAGACATTCTCAATGGCAGGATGGTTACAGGAACACATCCCCAGGCATGGCTGAGTCCTCCTTTCAGATGCAATTAAGACGGTTATCTTGGGGCAGGAACATGGCCCGACTTCACGTCTAGGGAACACGACGACTTACTTGGCTGACTACTACACGACAACAGATATTTAAACCCTCTCCTCCTCCAACCCTATAGGTTCAGAAGGCAGCATGGAGCAGATCCCTCCATTACATCCAGAGCAAAGTCTACTCCCTCAGCCAGGGGGAACTGTTCTCCTCGGCACTCAGGTCCTCTGGGTGTGTGACTCTTACCTAGGTTTCCCAGGGGATGGGCTCATTCCCCTGCATCCGAACTTGCTGAACTGTCCTAGGCAGCACGGTGGAACCCACCTGCCTCTCCCTTCTAGGCCCGAGGGGGTCATTGCGCCCGTCACTTTCCCCTGCCCCACGCCTGAGGTAATCCGTCCCCGGGGGGCAAAGCCACTCCCGCTCTTCAAACTCTGGACGCTTGAGGGGGGTCACGGTTTCGGGGCGCAGTCCTCGGGTGGCTGAGGGGGAGGGGACGCGCTCCGCAGGCTGCGCGCCGCCTATTTCCGGCCGTCGCCGCGGGCCTGCCCGAGCTGCGGGGCGGGGCTGCAGCCGGGACCCGGCGGCGGCGGCCACGGCGCGGAGCGGGCGGCCGAGCCATGGCGGGCTGCTGCGCCGTGCTCCGGGCCTTCCTGTTCGAGTACGACACGCCGCGCATCGTGCTCATCCGCAGCCGTAAAGTGGGGCTCATGAACCGCGTGGTGCAGCTGCTCATCCTGGCCTACGTCATCGGGTGAGCGAGCCTGGGGAGGGGCCGCGACTGGGGGAACCCAGACTGCCCGAAGCGGGCAGCGACCCCTTACTCACCACCCGGGGCCTGGGGCACCGCCTGGGCCGGCCAATGTCCTCCTCGCGGAGTCCAAGGGGCAGCGACACGCCCTTCCCTGGCCATCTGGAACCGGCTTGAACGGGACCCTGAGGACACTTGGCTGGACTGTCACCCCACCTTTCCTGCATCTTTACCTGTCACCATGACGCCCCTTGACTTGGTGGAGGGACTGGGCTGGCAGGGCTCTACTCTAAATGTCGCAGTCTTCTCTCTTTGTTCCCATTTCAAAATCTGCTGACAGAAACCAAGGCTCGTGATTTTCATTTGGTACTTTAAGGGTCTGTGGTTTCCGGGACTTCAAGAACCTCCTTGATAACTCAATACCCTGGAGCTGTCACACTTCCCAAAAGTATCCTAAGGTCACTTCCTTTGTTTTGTTGGACTGGTTAGGAATAAGTGTACCTACCTTATTCTGATTCTAACCTCTAGTCCCCATTTACTGTTTATATGTACCGTGCCATCACTAGGCATTATTAGATGTTTAATCTTAATTGAATGCACCTGTGAGAATTTAGCGCACACACACACACACACACACACGCGCACGCGCACGCGCACGCGCACGCGCACACGCACACGCACACGCACACACACCCTTCCTTCCCAGAAGAGAAGGTGGGAGTTGCCTTGCCTCCTGGGCCCGCTTTCAAGGTGTTCTAGTGTCAGCAGCTGCTGGTTTGACAGGTGGATCTGCTTTCTTGTTCTTCCTGAAGAGCCTAAAGCATGGATTCCCTAACCTACCCGTTGGAACCACTTAGGAATCCTTGACAATACTGATTGCCAGTTCACAAGCTGACCCCTGACTCAATTGCACAGAGCTGTCAGCAGGGCTTGCCAAACCTTCTGTGCCTGACCATACTCACCTGAGAAATTTTTGTGTAGCTCCAGGTAGATCAAATAAGTTCACAGGTGGCTGGAGAGATGGCCCAGTGGTTAATGCCTAACCTTTAATCCTAGCACTGGAGAGGGGGAGAGGCAGGTGGGTATCTGAGTTTGAGGCCAGCCTGGTCTACATCAGGACAGCCACAATTATATAGTGAGATCCTGTCTCAAAATGAAAAGAAGGAAGGAAGGAAGGAAGGAAGGAAGGAAGGAAGGAAGGAAGGAAGGAAGGAAGGAAGGAAGGAAAGAAGGAAAGAAGGAAAGAAGGAAAGAAGGAAAGAAAGGAAAGGAAAGGAAAGGAAAGGAAAGGAAAGGAAAGGAAAGGAAAGGAAAGAGGAAAGGAAAGGAAAGCAGGCCTCCTGCTTTGCCTGCTTTGGTGTGAGGCTTGGGATCTCTTCAGGCCGCCTAAAGGAATTCACGAGATTGCAGGTTTCCCTTCCAACACACGGAAGCAGAAGGCTCTAGGGATGACCTGCTGAAGCTGGGTGCAGCAGTAATCATTACGTCTGCAATCCCAGTGTTCAGGGGCCTGAAGCAGGAGGACGTTGAGTTTAAAGCTGGTCTGGGCTACATGAGACCCTGTGTCTGAAAAAGTCTTGTGTAGATAATAAAGTGTGTGTTTAGCATGAGGCCTTAGATGCAGTCGCCAGTACCTGAAAGACACCTGGCCCATACCTAGGTTTGGTCTTGTTAAGACTGGAGATGGGCCCTTCAGTGTTGAGACATGCCGCTACCTGACTCTGTAACTCGGATTGGAGGTGTCTGGAATCAGCTCTTAGGTAGCTCTGAGCTCTCAGTTTTGCTTTCCTGGGATAACCTGTCCGCCGTTAGCACTCTGCGGTTGTTGTCCTTTGTTTGTTTGTTTTTGTTTTTTAAGAGGGCCTCATGCACCCACTGAATGCTTGGGCTATCTCTAAATTAAAATGCACTCAAGCTAAAGAAAAAAAAAACACTCTGGAATTTGAAGATAGTTTGGTTATAGTACACCAAAAAAAAGTAAAATATCACATCAGTACTTTTTCCCCCGAGGTACCAAAGATCAAACCAAAGGCTTTATGCATTCTAGGCAAGCTTTGTGCCACTGAGCTATATACTTGTTGTTGTTTAAATGTTGATTTTATTTATCATTGTGTATGTGTGTGAATGAGGGTACATGCACACCATAAGCACGTGAGGGGGACAGAAGACAAGTTTTAGAAGTCAATTCTCTCTTCCACTGTGGGTTCCCAGCCCTGCCTCCACCTCCCGAGTGCTGGGAGTACAGGTGTTCACTGGCAAGTCCAGTTACCAGTCTGACACTCTAGAAATTGACGATGTTAAAATATTTTGTTGGTGAGTGGTGGTGGTGCACACCTTTGATCCCAGCACTCAGGAGGCAGAGGCAGGCAGATCTCTGAGTTCAAGGCCAGCCTGGTCTACAGAGTTTCAGAACAGCCAGGGCTACACAGAGAAACCATGTCATGGGGGGGGGGGGGGAGGAAGAAAGAAAGGGTAACCCAAAACGTGGATTTCTGCAGTCTCCAGTGTGGGGATCTGAAACATCCAGCTGGTGTCCTCAGCAGACTGACCGAATTCTGCTTGCTCTGCCACGCCCCTGCTCCTGCCTCCTCATCTCGCCAAAATCCTGTGAAATCCTGTTATCATTCCCAGTGTAAACTGAGGACAAACTGAGGTGCAGAACAGTTAAGTGACCCAGTGACTCCAGCATGCGGGCAGATGCCTTTGGGTTGTCGTTGTTCAGCCCAGCGGTATCACCCTCATTTCAGAAGGAGAGGAGCAGTGAGGTAACCTGGACCCCTAGGAAAAAGTAAGACAGTACAGCAAGAAGTTTCCCCCAGGGGCTGAGGGGAGAGCTCAGACAGCTTGGTGCTCACAGGAGGACCAGACTTTGATCCCAGGACCTAGGTGCTGTGATCCCAGTACCTCATGCTTGTGACCCCAGCACACAGCTAGGTCCCCGGGGCTCAACGGCCAGCCCCTCGAAATCCTGTCTCAGAAAAACAAAGTGGAAGCCAGCCATGGGGGTGGCACACTTCCTTAATCCCAGCACTCAGGTGGCAGAGGCAGGTGGATTTCAGGGAGTTCAAGACCAGTCTGATCTACATAGCAAGTTCCAGGCTAGCCAGAGCTAAATGATGAGAGCTCTGTATCAAAACAAAACCCAAGTGGATTTTGGAGTCTTCAGAGGAAGACTACCTGAGGCTGCCCTCTGGCTTACACACGCAAACACACACAAACACACACAAACATGTAAATTCCCTGAGCAGAACATGGTGCAGCCTGGAATCCTAAAGGGGCAAGGGATGATCATAAGTTCAAGGCCAGCCTGGAATACATATACATAGCAAGGCTGTGTCTCAAAAAGCGCTTGCTAGCCTGGTGTGGAGGTGCAGCCTTTGAACTCAGCAGTTGAGAGGCAAAGACAGGCAGATCTCTGTGAGTTCCAAGCTAGCCTGGCCTACAGAGTGAGTTTCAGGATTTCTACACAGAGAAATCCTGTCTCAAAACAAACAAAAACAAAGGAAGTGATTGCTATGCAAGGCTGACAACTTGAATCAGGCCCGGAGAATCCACAATGGAGAAAATGGACTTCTGTAGGTTGTCCTTTGACTTTTACACGTGAGTCCACGCCGACACACACACCATCACACAGGGCAACCAACAGCTGCAGATGGTGGCACACCTATGATCCCAGCACTTGGGGGCCTGAGAAGGGAATGGGAGAACTTCCACCTCAGAATGTGAGCCTGGCCTGAGCAACATGGCCTGTACCAGACCAGCCAGGGATACACGGCAAAAGCCGGTTTTAAACAACCAAAGTTGCCTAAGAAACAAGGTTCTCTTGTCTAGAGACAATAGAGGCTTCAGAGGTTTCTGGCTTGAGTTCAGATCCCTCCTCTGCCACTTGCTAGCTATACAGCCTTAGGAAAGTGACTCAACCCTCCTTTGTTTCTATTCCTGTCTCTGTAAATTGTAGGTAACAATCATGCTGCGTGCCTCATGAAGCGGCCAGGATTCAGTGACCTCCTGAAAGTAAATCAAATGGAAACAGTTGCTTCCCAAAGATCAGTGTTTTGAGGCGTCTTAGACATACGGTGATAAATACAGCATTCACTGAGCATTTCCTGTGTGTGGATGACTGTGCTAGCCAACCACGTCATTTATTTCTCACAAAATAACCAGTGCTACTGTGTCCATTTTGCAGAAGTTCAGCATCTTTTGCAAGTCACATAATTAGTAAATGCCACCCTTCCGCCGCCCCCCCCCCAGGCTATCAGAGACTCCCTGTTGTCAGTTCGAGTTTACTGAATGCTATGACCTCCTGTATTTTTCAGGTGGGTGTTTGTGTGGGAAAGGGGCTACCAAGAAACAGATTCAGTAGTCAGCTCGGTGACAACCAAAGCCAAAGGGGTGGCTGTGACCAACACTTCCGAGCTTGGATTCCGGATCTGGGATGTGGCGGACTATGTGATCCCAGCTCAGGTATGTCTCGATGTGACTTCCCTGCACAAGGAGCTCTCTGCTGGCTTTGCACACACACGGTGAGTGGCCAGAGGTCGCCACCTTCACACCCGGGTTGTTTTAGCATGAGAAAGCAATGCAGCCAGAGCTGGGATGTCATTTCTACCAGAGAACCCTCAAGAGCTCTACAGCTTTGTAGTGTGGCTGGCTCCAACCCAGCAGCTCTGTCTTCCCCACACCGTCACCTCTCCACGCTCTAGAGGGTAAGAAAGCAAAGGTCTTTAGTCTTGGGACGTGAGGCTGGAGACAGCACCTTCCGCATTCACTGTTTGCTTTTCTGTCTTACACCCACAAGGTAAAGCTTGTCACAGGGTATAAAAAAACAAAACAAAACAAACCCCCAAACAAAACAGCAGTTAAAGATCACACGCCCACAGTAGAAGGAAGCGGTCAGATTCCGTCAGGGACAGAGCAGAAGCAGTTGCTGCATGGGGCGTCCCAGCCAGTCTGTCAATCCACCCCGTGCTCGTGAACCTTCCGGCCTCTCTGTGGAGCTGGAGGCTTCACACATGCTAGGCAAGCACGCTCCTGCCGAGCCAAGGCTCCAGCCCCAGAGCTGCACGTTAAACATTGATTCGGCTGCGCGCCACTTGGCCAAACCCTGATTAGCACCACGTGGCTGATGGGTATGGTGGCCAGATTAATGTGAGCTGTAAGCACTTGGCTTGGAGCTGGGAGAGAGAAAACAAGGAGTTGAGATATTCTCTTCAAGAGTGTTAATTAACCTGCCTTCTCAGGAGAAGAGTCTGATAATATGAGGGGGAAGGTCCAGAGAAAAGCCAGAGCTAATGAGACAGAAAAATAAAATGGACTGCCAGGCATGGTGGTGCATGATTTAACGCCAGCATTCAAACTGCAAGGGTGAGCAGATCTCTGTAAATTTCCAGGCCAGTCTGGTTGACAGAACGAGTTAGTGAGTCCCAAGACATTCAGAGCTACCCAGTGAAACCCCATCTTAAAAAAATAATAAAAAAAAGTCAGTTGGAACAAGTGGTTGCACTGGGTGATTCTTTTGGTTTGTACCTGGCTCAGCAGAGTGGTAGTGGCTCCTGAGCTCTGAGACTGTCACACCCATTGTACCTACTGCAGCCAAGGACAGGCACACACCCTCCCCTGGACCTTACTGGGAAGGTCTAGCCAGCAGCTGTGTTGTGTCAAGCAGCAGGGTTGGGACCTAGGGGTTCCCAGGGGCTCTCTCTTCCCGAGCCTCTCAGTGGATGGGTCGTAACCTCCACATCCATGTTCATCTCTAGACTAGTGAAAGAGCTAAGCAACAGGAAACAGAAAGCAGCCGACAATGCACTGTGCAAGTCTAACTCGAGGAGGTGCAGATTCAAGATAAGGGGTATCTATCTGGTAAACAGCTGGAAGGGGGGTCCTGGAGAGACGGCTCAGCAGTCAAGAACACTGGCTGCTCTGCCAGAGGACCCAGGTTCAAGTCCCAAAACCCACCTGGCAGATCACAACTGTCTGTAACTCCAGCTCCAGGGGATCTGACACCTTCACACAGATATGCATGCAGGCAGAACAGCAGTGAACATAAAATAAAAATAAATAATTTTAAAAAGAAACGTCTGTTGCTGACAGACTCCTGTAGAGTATTTTTTGAAGATTTATTTATTTATTTTACATATGAGGGCTCTATCTCTATGTACACCTGCAGGCCAGAGGAGGGCATTAGATACTAGTATAGATGGTTGGGAGCCACCATGTGGGTGCTGGGAATCAAAGTCAGGACCTCTGGGAGAACAGACAGTGCCCTTAACACTGAGCCATCTCTCCAGCATTTTTACATTTGCTTGTTTGTTTGTCTTTTAAACAGTCTCGCTATGCTGCTGGCCTGATTAACCTAGAACTTGCTACGTAACCAGATTGTCCTTGAACTCACAGAGACCCTTCTGTCTCTACTTCCTAGGTCCTGGGACTAACGGCATGCCCCCCCACACCCAGCCTTTAGCGTGGTTTTAAAAAAACATTTTATGTCTGTGTGTGTACCTGCATGTGTAACCCCTGCGTACAGTACCAGCAGACGTCAGAAGAGGGCATCAGGTTCCCTGGAACTGGTGTTGTAGGTAGTCATGAGCCACCGTGAGGTGCTGGGAACCGAACCCAGGTTATCTGGAAAAGCAGTCAGTGCTCATAACCACGGAGCCACCTCTCCAGTCCATAATTCTTCTGTGTGTGTGTGGAACTGGAACTTGAACACAGGGCCTCGTGACTGCTAGGCCTAGAATTCTGTCACCAAGTTTCATCCCTACACCCCCACACTCTTTAGCTTTGTGTATGTAGAAAACACAACAGTATCTCATTCCTTGTTATGGCCAGATGCTAACTCCATCACATGGCTAGACCACAGCTGGTTTGCCAGTCATTGTAGGCCTCTGTTGTGAAAGTGCTGTTAGTAACATTTTTCTGCAACTATCTGCTCTTTTAAGTTCTAGTTTTATCAGAGGGTGCGGTGAACAATGGACCACAGATCAGCTGGGGGGGGGGGGTTGTTTTGTTTTTGTTTTTTTTAATTGTGTTATCCAAAAAAAATTTTTTTTAATTTACCTGTTTTGCCTGGACAGGCCAGAAGAGGGCATCAGATCCTCCAGAACTGGAGTTACAGATGGTTGTGAGCCCTCTGTGTCGGTGATGGGAACTGAACAGAGCACCCAGTGTTCTTAACCTCCGAGACAGCCCTCCATCAGCTTAAATATATATAAAATATTATATATTGTGTATTATATTTATAGATATAAATTATATATAGATTTAATTATATTCCTACAGAAATTTCTAGACAGATTTAATGGTGCACACCTGTAATCCCAATCCTTGAAAAGGTGGAGTCGGGAGGATCAGGAATTCAAGGGCAGCGTGGACCATATACAGTCCATAGCCACCCTGAGCTCCATGAGACCCTGTCTCAGCCATCCCTCCCACACATAAAAAAGGGAATCTACCTTCCTTCCTTCCTTCCTTCCTTCTTTCCTTCTTTCCTTCCTTCCTTCCTTCCTTCCTTCCTTCCTTCCTTCCTTTCTTCCTTCCTTCCTTCCTTCCTTTTCTTGACTTCTAGTTTTCTTCTTAAATACTCAAATGCTTTCCTTTTTAGATATATTTTATGTGTATGAGTGTTTTGCCATACATACATGTCTGCACAGCTCTTTTGTGCCTGGTGCCTGTGGAGGCTGGAAAGGGGTATCAGGTCTCTCTAGAACTAGAGTCATTGACAGCTGTGAGCTGCCCTGTGGGTGCTGGGAATCAAACCCAGCTCCAATGAAGAACAGTGAGCGCTGAGCCATCTCTCCAGCCCCATCTGGCTTTCTGAGGGTGACTCAACAGGGTTCTCTCCTCTCCACAGGAGGAGAACTCCCTCTTCATCATGACCAACATGATCATCACCGTGAACCAGACACAGAGCACCTGTCCAGAGGTGGGTAGCTCTTTGGAAAAGCCCCTCAGGTTTCACACCCACATCTACTCCTGGAAAACTGCATAGGGCTCATGGAACCTGTTTTCATTCATTCCTTTTCCAGATTCCCGATAAGACCACCATTTGTAATTCAGACTCCAACTGCACCATTGGCTCCACAGGCACCCACAGCAATGGTAGGAGTGAGTGACTTGAGCAGCTGGGACATCTCAGCAGACGCTGGACCTGGGGAAGGTGGCATCCGATGGCATCACACTTCCTGTGGCACATCTGTGATAGAGAAATTGCAAAAATAAAAACCTACCGTCTCCCTGTACCCCCAACCTAGGACACAGCTCTGTGGTAGGGAACAGGTTTAGATGAGCCCTGGGTTCAGTTCTACCTCAGCAACAGAGAAGACCTCAGCCCCGACACCACACCCTTGCCCACCGCCATGCCATGTGAACCCAGGGGAGGGCAGACAGCCCCGATGGTGCCCCTCTCTGTGACTTGTTATCGCTTTGGCAGATATGTGGCCAGCCCTGAGGCAGCTTCCTTGTTCTACTTCCGTTTTTCTAGACACCATCTAAATCCTATCATCCGCTAAAGATTGGCTACCCACGATCCTCAGGTCTCTTACTGTACTGCACAAAGGTGAACGATGGGGACCTATGCTCCTCGGTCTCTCCTCTCTTCACAGGAGTTGGGACTGGAAAGTGTGTTCCGTTCAATGAGTCTGTGAAGACCTGTGAGGTGGCAGCATGGTGCCCAGTGGAGGACGATGCCGGTGTGCCAACGTGAGTCCTACCCAAGGTTCCCTAACCTTGGTTTTCAGCCTGGAGGGAGGTGACACAGAGGTGAGCTGAGCTTGAGTGCTGGGATTGTTTTTGTGCACTCTGGGCCTGTGGGCGGGGCCACTCTACCCTGAGAGAGTGGCTGTCACCACAGAGCAGGGAGACCACAGGTTTGTCCCAGGACACAGGAGCATCGACTCCTGTGTGCTGGAGCACTGTCAGCTGCAAGCAACCAACAGGAAACAGTCCTCGGGTTTTGTTTGTTTGTTTGTTTGTTTGTTTGTTTGTTTTTAATCTACACAGGGTCTCTCTGTGTAGCCCTGGCTGTCCTGGACTCTGTACACCAGGCTGGCCTCACACTCACAGAGATCCTCCTGAGTGCTGGGATTAAAGGTGTATGGCACCATTGCCTCATGGTCTTGTTTGTTTTTTTTTTTTTTTTAAGAACCTCATTATGTAACTTGAGATGGCCTTGATTTAAAAAATTAATAATAATTTTAATTATATTTACTTGTGTGTGTGTGTGTGTGTGTGTGTGTGTGTATGTGTATGTATGTACATGAAGGTTGGAAAATAACTTGTGAGTCAGCTCTTTCCTTCCTTCTACCATTGGGGACCCAGGAATGGAACTCAAATCCTCAGGCATTGCAGCAAGGACTGGAATTACCGGCACGCGCTATCACACATGGCTTTGGCACCGCGCACAGATCCACCCACCCCCAACACACACAAGCAGCACATTTTATGTTCCCACTAACAAAAACCGTCTGAGCGAGGCTACGTCCGGGGCTCCCAGAGGACCAGGCTCCTTTTGCCTCTGCCTTCTTCAGGTCAGCTTCAGTTGCAGCCCCGGGCTTCTCTCCTGTCCTGGTTGTGCAGTTTGGACTTCTCCATCACTGTGCAGTCTTGTCACACTCCTCAACCCATAACCATAGCTGGGGGACGACCTTCGTGTCTCAGCTTGGACATAGGTGACATATCTGCCTCCGAGGCTAGGCCTGCCATCAGTCCCACCCAAAAAGCACAGGCTGAGACTGGGGGAGGCTAGCTTCCAAAGGAGGCTGGGCTTCTGTTGCCCAGGAGGGGTGGGGAAGTCATAAATGTCTGCAAAGGCAAGGTCACAAACCACACAAGGTCCAGGGCCCCGGACACTGTCTTCCCACTCTCTTCTGTGCACAGAGAAGTGCATGGCACTTGGGTTTCTGTGGCGTTCAGACCTATGTGAGACCTCAGGAGCAGAAAGCCAGAGCAGGTCAGCCCGGGAGTGCTGCCATTTGGGGAACGTTGGTGGCTGTTGATGGCAGCCGCTGAGACAAAGGGGAAGATGCCAGAAGGAGAGGACCCTGGGGTCTGGGTGCTGGAAGGACCTGAGTGTCACTGAGGTGACCTCTGAGGCCACTGAGGTGGCCTCAGCACTGGGGCCACCTGCTGCCTGCAGTGGTTGGGGTTTTTGAAATGCTGGGTCTAAAGTAATGTGCACTGTTGATATGACACACTAGGACCAAGACAAAATACACAAGATCTGATTACTATTTTATGTTGGCCACATAGCCAAGTCACAGTATATGTTGGGATAGCATATGCTGATTGCCACTTTCTTTTTACATTTAAAATTTCTTAAAGACACTGGTTGTGATGGTGCAGGCCTTTAATCCCAGCACTTGGGAGGCAGAGGCAAGAAGGATCTCTGTGAGTTTGAGGCCAGCCTGGTCTATGCAGTGCATTCCAGGACAGTCAGGGTTGTATAGAGAGCCTTGCCTCAAAAACGCCAATTAAGTAATTATAATTAATTGATTGATTGATTGTATTTCTTAAAGATTCTTTTAAGAAAAATACATGTGTGTATGCGTATCAAGTGCCTGTGGTGCTCAGAGCTAAAGTTACAGGCAGTTGTGATTCCCTGACCTAAGGTGAAAGAGCCTTTAACTGCCGAGCCATCTCTCTCTACTTAAAAAAACAAAAAACAAACAAACAAAAACTTCTCAGGCTGGTAGTGGTGCAGGCCTTTAATCCCAGCACTCAAAAGGCAGAGGCAGGCAGATCTTGGTGAATTTGAGGCCAGCCTGGTCTACAGAGTGAGTTCCAGGACAGCCAGGGCTATACAGAGAAACCCTGTCTCAAAAACCAAAACCAAGAACAAGAAAAACAACAAAAGAAACCACAGTGTGGCTGAAGTTGTACAGGACAGGTGGAGCAGCTGGTCCAAGAAATACCGCTGGGTCACACAGTAAGAAAGATAGCCCTGCAGCTGGATGGGGTGAGGAGGACGCCTCAGCAGATAAAGCCCAGGACTTGGTCTACTCTGAGAACTCACAGAAAAACGTGCATGTGGCACATGCTTGGAATCCTGGTGCTGTGGAGGTGTGCTCAGGGGTCCCTGGGCTCACCGGCCAGCTAGCCCAGTCTAACTGTGAGCTCCAGGCCAATGAGAGGCCTTGTCTCAGAGATGGGCCAGGTTCATGAGGAAGACACTAAAAGTTGTGCTTCAGCCTCCAGCTGTGCATACGGACATAACACCAAAAAGATTGCCATTCTTTTTTTTTTCTTTTCTTTTCTTTCCTTTTCTTTTCTTTTCTTTTCTTTTCTTTTCAAGACAGGGGTTCTCTATGTAGCCTTGGCTGTCCTGGACTTGCTTTGCAGACCAGGCTGGGCTTGAACTCACAGAGATCCGTCTGACTCTGCCTCCCCACATGCTAGGCACTACTGCGCCCGGCTGAGATTTCCATTCTTACTCAGTCTCTCCCTTTATCAAGGAGGAAACTCTGACTTGTGGTATCTTGGTTATCACTTGCCGATTTGTATTTCTTACTAAGAATAAGCCCCATCCTGAGCAGATGATAATATTAACTACAAGTTTCAATAGCACTGTTTGGGGAGTAAATTGGGAGCAACTCAAGTTTTTATGAATGTGTACAAATTGTGGTATGCCCATACAATGGAATCTTATTCTGCTCTTAAAAAGAATGAGGCCCAGCTAAGAACTTGTTTTGAATTAGTGACGCTGCAGGCGCAGTCTCCCAAGTGCTAGGATAACAGGTATGAGCCGTAATACTTCACTAAATGGACTCATTTTATAATGGCTATTTTTATGTTATTTGAATTTTGCTTCATTTTTTTTTCAAAAGTAAAAACTGATTTTGAAGTATTGTCTATGGGGTGCACAGGAATTGGGATATGATACAGAAAATGACAAAAATGCAAAACCCCTGTTATAACCCCCTCCTTCTTGATAAGGAACAGGGACTTTGAGGCCGAAGGAGCTCCAGGCCTTTACTTAGCATCAGAGGTGTCAGGCTCAGCTCCCCTCAGATGACCCGCGGTGGCTTTGCTGCTGAGGCAGGGCTGCGGTGAGCGGTTCCATTTATAACTTCAAAGTTCCTGTCTGCCTCAGGGGAGGCCTCCTCCACAGAAGCGTCAGACACATATTTCTGGATTCTCACTAAGAAAATTCCACCCAGGAAATGAGTCCCCTTGGGGACAGACTCACCTTCTACGGCCAGCCGGAAGCTGCCGTGGTGCCTTCCGGAGCACTCTGACAATACGGTCTCCCTCTCGGCAAGGCCAGGGTGCGCCTGCTGGTGAACTCCCCTGTGCTCTGACTTATAAAACCAGATGTAGGGAGCATCCGCAGCCCACGAACACCCTAAAGGGTAAGCACGAGGCCAGCAGCTGCCAAGAAGTCATGGTGGCCACAGCATCCTGTGCAGCACATGCTTCAGGCAGGAAGTCCCGCCTCTTCAGAGGAAGGCTCTAGAAGGCCTGGTGACCTAGAGTTACACTAAAGAACATGCCAGATGCGCCCCTTCTCCAGAGTGCCGACTGTCGGGAAGGTCGCACAGGCGTGTGCGCGTGCTTAATGGCCATTGCAACTCTCTTCCAGGCCAGCTCTGTTAAAGGCTGCCGAAAACTTCACCCTGCTGGTAAAGAACAACATCTGGTACCCCAAGTTTAATTTCAGCAAGTAAGTGGGCATGTGCATTCCCAGCCTCTCAAAAGGACTTCCGGCTCTCCCTGAGGTCCCCTTGCTCAGACTTTCTGCTTCCTCCCCGACTCCAGGAGGAACATCCTCCCCAACATCACCACCTCCTACCTCAAATCCTGCATTTACGACGCTCACACGGATCCCTTCTGCCCCATATTCCGCCTTGGCAAAATCGTGGCGGATGCGGGGCACAGCTTCCAGGATATGGCAGTTGAGGTGTGTGCTGGCATGGCTCTTCTCGTCCCTCCTTGGCCCCAGTGTGGACCTGAGTTCTGAAAGCCTGTCTGCCTCTCCTGCTTTCCCCACAGGGAGGCATCATGGGCATCCAGGTGAAATGGGACTGCAACCTTGACAGAGCTGCCTCTCTCTGCCTGCCCAGATATTCCTTCCGGCGCCTCGACACCCGGGACCTGGAGCACAATGTGTCTCCCGGCTACAATTTCAGGTGAATGAGCCTGGGCCCCAGCACTCACGAGTCAGGAGGGCGATGGCGGATATCTGTGGGGTTGTTCATGCCCCTCCCATTCCCAACCACCAGTACTCTCAGGACAGGCTGTGTATCACCAGTTCAGCGCAGGACGGCCAAATCCTGGCAGAATTCTCCCAGCAGAGCCTTGCTCCTGTGATAGCCAAGCCCTTTCATGGTACAAGAAAAGTGTTCAACAGCTAAGAGCGCTGGCTGCTCTTGCAGAGAACCAGGGTTGGGTTCCTAGCACCCACATGGCAACTCACAACTGTCTGTAACTCCTGATCCAGGGCATCCAGTGCCGCCTTCTGGCTTCCTTGGGCATTGTGTGTACATGGTGCACTTAATGGAGGCAAAATACTCATACGCATAAAAATATGCATAAAAATATACGCATAGAAAATCCTTTTTCCCTAACGTGTTGAGGATGGCCGGGTAGATGAGAGAAAAGCAGACAGCTTAGCTTCCAAGGGTCATCCTTTCCCACATTCCCCCCTTCGCTGTGAGGAACAGATGAGTTTATTATGGCTTCTGTTCGAAGCGAATGGGCTCCGGCCTAGAAATTGCCTTTCTAGTGGAGTCGGCCCCAGCGTGCAGAGGATATGGGTAGAAGACTCAAGAGAGGCCTGTGCTCAAGCCAGGCGTGGTGATACACATCTACAATCCCAGAGGCTGGGAAACGGAATCAGGAGGGGCATGTGTAAAGCCTGAACACATGGCGAGACCCCATCTCAGTGCAGTACAAAGGGCAGCCCTCAGATTGGCATGTGGAAAATGCTGGCGTAGCAGTTCCCCTGGGCTCTGGTAACAACTAAAACCGAACAGCTCGACGCAACAGAACTTTATTCTTTGATAGTTCTGAACCCAGAAGCCTAAAATCAGGGTGTCTGCCAGGCTGTGCTGCTGCAGGCTCTGTGGTTGTATCCTTCCTTGCCGTTAAGCATTTGGTGGCTGCTAGCTATCCTTGGCCTGGACATGTGTCACCACCTCTGTGGTCATGTGGCTTTCTTCCCTCTTCCTATCTTCTCTGTGTAGCTTGGAATCATCTTGAACTCCTGATCCCTCTGCCGTCACCCCACATGCTGGGATTAGAGGTGTGAACTACCACACCCAGCTTCTCTTTTCTTTTTTTGGACAGGCTGGGAATTTGCTATGTAGACCAGGCTGGTCTCAAACTCCAGAAATAGGAGTGCATTATCTGCCTGAGTGCTGGGTGAAAGGCATCTCTCTTCCTGGTCCAGTCTCTCTTCCTCAACTTGATCATTAGATTTAGGATGAACCTTAACTAGTATGACCTCCACAAAATAAGGTCATCTTTGCAGGCCACATGAGCTTGAGAAGGGGACACTATTAAATCCAGGACACCTGGGACTCTAACGAGAGGCCTAGGAACACCTTTGTCATTTTCTTAAAAGCAGCAAAATCCTGCCTGCCTTCAAAGTGCATTTGCTGGGCTGGTCTTAGTTGCTCGTGGCTCCCTCTAGTGGTAGCTTGTGGTATCAAATTTGTGTGGGGGTTTTAAGAAAGATAGGAGTTTCTGAGACTAGGGCAGGTATTTGAACTCTCCCCTGGGGGTCAGGTCTGTATCCTTATATCCCTATTGCTGCAGGGTCCTCCCTGGGACCGCTGTGGAGTCCTCAAGCTTGGTTTAGAATCCTAGAGCTGAGAAGAACCCAGCCCCTGGCCTCTGCCCATATCAGTCTCATCTGAGGGTCCCAAGCCTGGACCACAGGGTAGAAGCTATGGACCAGACAGATCCCAGGTGTTAGGCTAAGATCCTGGGAGAGTGCCAAGGGTGGGCTGACAGAACTGCGGTAAAGGCAAGGTTTCTTCTGGAGCTGCTGAGAATCTAAAACTGGCTGGTTGGGTATTTAAGACCGATTGACCTTCAGTTCCTGGAGTGCTGCAATCAGTCTTTCCTAGCTTGCATTCTGTAGTCTGCTGGGTGAGTTGTGTAGCTGCATTTCCGCTCGATTGTGTGTATCTCGACCCAGCCATTTAAAGGACAAAAGCAGATGGCAGGCAGGAGAACCAGTGAGGCGTGGTGTGTCCCACCTGGAGCCAAGATCTTGGGCTGAGACGAGTGCTGGGTTGGCTTTGTCCCTGTCCTTCAGTGCAGTAACCGGCAGACCCCGGTTACTCCTCTGTTAGTAACCAGGGTCCCCTGGAGAGAGGCAGGTGTCTCCGCCGCATCAGGAAGGCCATTCGGAGCAAGAGGGTTCTGCCATCCTGCGGAAGGTGGTGACAGGAGTCATTCTGTTCCTTCAGGAGGGGTCCTGGTTCCTCCTGTCACATGCCTCAAGCCAACTGGGAGGCTGACCCGGGGTGCTTGGTGTCCACGAAGCCAGCAGAGCAGCTCCTGGGCCAAGACCAGCTCTGCCCAGGCACTCAGGTCCTGCTCTAACAGGCTCCTCTTAGGACCCAAGGCCCGCATGTATTCTCTAAACCACCCTCTTTTCCTCCAGGTTTGCCAAGTACTTCAGAGACCTTGCTGGCAAAGAGCAGCGCACGCTCATCAAGGCATACGGCATCCGCTTTGACATCATTGTGTTTGGAAAGGTTGGCCCTCCTTTGAACCCCTGTGGGTCAGGCAGCCTCCTTCCCACTGCCCTATTTCCTGTGGTCACCCTATCAAAACACTTTGGTTCCCTTCCTACCTAATGCAGGCTGGAAAGTTTGACATCATCCCTACCATGATCAACGTTGGCTCTGGCTTGGCGCTGCTGGGGGTGGTGAGTGGCCTGAGTTGTTCTTCTCTTCTCATCCAGACTGGACCTTCCTCAGTAGTCAGCTGCACAGTGAGCTGTCCTTCCCCTAAACCTTAGACTTGTCTCTCGACTGGATGCCTCCAGGGGAAGGGGAAAGGATCCCTAGACATCCCACCTCAGAGACCAAGCCCCTCGGCCAGAGGCTGGTCTGATCCAGAGAAATGGAGATGGCCTTTCCTCCTCAGTAGATTAGGTTTCAAGGGAAGGAAGGGGTCTCACAGAGCAACAGCTAAGTGCATCCTGGTTCATTCTGTGCCAAATCAGGCGACGGTGCTGTGTGATGTCATAGTCCTCTACTGCATGAAGAAAAGATATTACTACCGGGACAAGAAATACAAGTATGTGGAAGACTACGAGCAGGTAGGCACCTGCACCCCGGCAGGCAAGAGCTGTGAGCTCCTTGTCCTTGTCTCCTGTCTCACTGGAGAACACTGAGCAAGGCCGGCACCTGTCAACTGCTCACCCAGGCAGTTACACCTGTGGCTGCGTTTGTTTCCTTTCTACCTTAAAACCCAGCTGTATTTTAAAGATTATTTATGTATGTGAGTGCTCTATCTTCATGTACACCTGCACACCAGAAGAGGGCATCAGATCACATTAAAGATGGTTGGGAGCCACCAGGTGGTTGCCAGGAATTGAACTCAGGACCTCTGGAAGAGCAGACAGTGCTCTTAACCACTGAGCTGTCTCTCCAGCCCCTTCAGCTGCATTTTAATTAGTCAAAGCTTGCTTTTGATAATGGATAGAAGGGCAGCATCTACATCCACGTGTCCTTACAGTCATCTTTTGGAATGAGAGTTTTGTTCTGTGAGACCATCCAGAATCAATGTGAGGCTTCTCTGTCGTTAAGGTCCTTCCAGAAGCCGGCAGGAAAAGCCCCAAACTCCTGCCTGTCCAAAGTGGTTGGGTAACTCGTGGTGGCAGCACACCAGGTAGTTACTTGCTCGCCCTCCTTTGCAGGGTCTCTCTGGTGAGATGGACCAGTGATGTCTAACCCTACACGTCAAGCCCACACAGCCCTCAGCGAAGCAGTGAGATGGGAGAAATGGCTGCTCCATCCCTCTAGAGAAAGTTCCAGTTTCTGCTCCACAAATACTCAGGGTTACCCAGCAGGTCTTGATTGTTCTGTTGTTTTTGAGCCTGGGTCTTGCTCCGCAGCTCCGACAGGCTCCAGATTCAAGATCCTCCTGCTTCTGCCTCCAGGAGTGCTGGAATTACAGATGTCCATCACTGCACTCATCTCCCGTGGGGACTCTGGCATTGTTACCTTGGGCGTTGTACAGCTCCACTGTGCACAGCTCAGGCTGGCCTCAGACTCCAGACATTCTTCCAGCCTACACAGCCGTTAAAGCTCGCTTTATGTGTGGTTCCTTTGCTCAGTACACACAGTGGATCCCTGGCGTGCTGTTGGTTGGGGCACCTGTTGTTTGTACAGCGTGAGCACATTGGGGCAGGAAGATAGACAGTCGGAGAGCAGACACTGCTCTGGCTGATGGGATTGCCGTCTTCTCCAGGGCTGCCAGGGCTGGCTTCCCCAGGAAGTTCCAGTCTCTAGAGCCTCTGCGGCACAGCAGCTCTGTCCAAGCACTTTATAAGGAAGGAGCTTCTCCCAGGTACCCTCAGCACCTGGGACACTGTCCCTCTTCCCTGTGACCAGGAACTTTGTCCTTGTAACAGAGGCAGGGTTAGCATTTCCTTTCAGAAGGGCTATATTGAAATGACCAAGGACCAAACATTAAAAGAAATGATTTTTTTAAAAAAAATCCATGTCTGTGCTGTCTCTTAGCATTCGAACCAAAGCTCTCTTTCATCATGAAAGTGGTCAACATCCAAATGGAGCCACCAAACAAGAAGGGGTCAGGCTGAGGTAGGAGGTCCTTGTGGGATGTCTGCCTGATACAGTGAGGGTCACTTCCGGGGGCAGCTGGGGTTCCTGACCAAGGAACTGTGCTGTACAACAGCAAGGACATGCCCTGGCTCTTGGCTGTGCCCTCATATGCCACCTCTGTCCCTCCCTGTCCCACAAAGCACACCTCCTGCCCTGCACCCCCCACCATCTCTGAATAGACTCTCTCTTGCATCTTGTGCATCATCTGGCAATGCTCTGCCACTGACCCTCAGCTCTGGGCTTTGCTTTTGGAATACCAGGATTTTTTCCCTATTAGGACTGTCTACAAGCCTAAGAACTGTGATCTCTATTAGGCTGTACCCTCATGGAATGTGCATTTTCCTATAGCTTATATTTCCATATAATGTAGCTACTATTTATTCTTATAAATAAGAATAAGGCATTCTATAGGCATTCTATAGGCATTCTATAGGCAACACAATTTCAGGGGTGTAGCTGACCATCTCCCTCATCATTAGTTTCTCCAGCTTACACCTTGAAGCAGGACCAACTACATCTATCTTGCCACAGTGTGAGTGTGAATGGAGCTATTTCCAGCCTGCAGTTTCACAGCACCACACTGGCTTAATTCTGTCTGGTGAAAAACAGCTTGGCCCTCCCCTTTGCCATTAATCAATTCATTTCCAAGTACTTAGGGGTATGATAGGTTAGGGACATTCTACTTCTTCTGAATAAATGATCAATCCAGGCTTTTCTTGCTTTGTGATAGGTGGTAGGGTAGTAGGCAAAATTTATGAGACAGTTTCAACAAAACTGATTTGTGAGGCTTTTTTATTGTTTTGTTTTTTTGAGACAGGGTTTCTCCATATAGCCTTGGCTGTCCTGGAATTTGCTGTGTAGATCAGGCTGGCCTTGAACTCAGAGTGCTGGGACTAAGGCATGTGCTGCACTGTCACTAGCACCTGGCTATTTTTCATTTTCTTCTGTTTTGTTTTTAAGTGCTCACTTGGGGCTGGAGATGACTGTGTGGTTAAGAGCCCCTGCTGCTCTTTTTCAGTTTCCAGCACCACATCAGGAGCGTCACAGCTGACTGTCACTCCAGTGCTAGGAGGTCTGACAGCTGCCTCTCCCCTTCACAGGCAATCATATGATATGTGCACACACAGAGAGACACACACATGCACAAAGAAATGATTCTTCCAGGAGTGCTGGAATTACAGATGTCCATCACTGCACTCATCTCCCGTGGGGACTCTGGCATTGTTACCTTGGGCGTTGTGCAACTCCACTGTGCACAGCTCAGGCTGGCCTCAGACTCCAGACATTCTTCCAGCCTACACAGCCGTTAAAGCTCGCTTTATGTGGGGTTCCTTTGCTCAGTACACACAGTGGATCCCTGGCGTGCTGTTGGTTGGGGCACCTGTTGTTTGTACAGTGTGAGCACACTGGCTTCTGTTCGAAGCAAATGGGCTCCGGCCTAGAAATTGCCTTTCTAGTGGAGTCGGCCCCAGCATGCAGAGGATATGGGTAGAAGACTCAAGAGAGGCCTGTGCTCAAGCCAGGCGTGGTGATACACATATCCCTCGTCATTAGTTTAGGTGCTGCCTAAACACTGATCAAATGGAACTGGGAGTTTTAGGAATGCTGACCTGGTTAGAGTATGTCCCCCTACCCCCAAATCCACATTTTGGAAACTGGATCTCTGATGTGACAGGATGAGGAGATGGGATCTCTTGGAGGGGACTGAGCCACAAGCACTCTTCCTTCATGAGTGGAACTAAATGTCTTATCAAACCGGCTTAACAGAGAGATCCAGGCCTCCGTGCTCCTTCCACATGCTGGACATCATCCTGGAGGCGTCCTCACCACACCCAGCATCTTCCGGGAACAGTGATCGTGGACTTCCCGGCCTCCAGACATTTGGGGAATTTCTATTCTTTGCAAATTAGGCAGTTCTGGGCACTCTGTTTCGGTGATGCACACAGACCAGGACATGCTTTATTCACTATCAAAGGCCATGATGGCAGCTCCTCACATAAGGCTGTGAGGGTTGGATATTTGGGGCACTCCTGGGTCATCCTGTACTCAGCTGCATCTCTACTCACTGGCACACCCTGCTGCTGCCTCTCAGGTGGGGTTGATGACAGGCTCCTTCACCCTCCCATGTGAGTGAGCTGCTGGGACTCCCTGAAGCCCTAAAGCCTTGGGATGGACAGTGATGCGCCCCGAGAATTGGTTCCTCCACATCCTCAGGTTCTCAGTGGCATTTTCAAACAGGATCCTTCTCTTGACTCTCAAGAGCCTCCGTTCCTTACTCTCAGAATCTCACTGTACAGCCTAGACTGGCCTAAAACTTGGAATCCTCCTGCTTCCACCTCCCAAGTGCTAGGATTACAGGCATGTGCACCATACCTGACAATAGCCTACGTTTCTGCAACATGGAATGGGGCTTCCAGATAACAAAAAGTGAAATTCAAAGGCAGGAAAACAATGCCCAGGCCCGAGGACATGGCTCATGTGCTGGAAACCACTCCCATCTGCTCACCTTTCCAACCTCACCGAATCCTACCCTTACCATCACACTTCGACTTCTCGGCGGCTCACCTGGGAGCAGTTTATGTGGGACCCAGGAATGTGCATTCTGTCTGCCCTGCTTCCAAGAACTGTGGATACTGCTGGTGGCCTCAGAATCTTGCTGAGTAGTGACACCCTAGGACACGCCTAGGTCAAGGGCCCTGCCCCTGCGTTAGCTGTGACTTGGGCTTCTCACTTCCTATCAGCCTAAAGGAAGGAACACCAGTGTAAGCAGAAATATTACAAAACAAAAACTACCAACCAAAGAATCCCCAGGAGGCCCAGGCTTTGCACCATTTTGCTGTCTGTTTATTTCAAGTTTACAGAGAAGCTTAATCACCTGTGGAAAAACGGAAAGCTTATCTTTTAAGTTCATGTACTTGTAAGTGATAAATACACAGTATTTAACTTTGTACACCTGATAAAAAGGAAAAAATGCATAGTAGAGAGGATGGGGGTAGGGGGAATAAAACAGAAGCAGAGGGCACTGATCACCAAATAAAAAAGTCCGAAGTCCCACAAAACTCAGCCCATGAAGCTGGAGAAGAGAGAAGCCAACAATCTTCCCTAGCACCTTGGGAGCAAACGGAGGTCGCTTCCACCTGGCAACGTGAAGCGCGCCCTCTGGAAGACGGGCGGGAGCTGCAGGCCTGACCTGGTCTCAGCTTGCACAGATGCTCTCCTGATTCTAGAAAGGTTCCGGGAGAAGAGCTCCGTCCCATGGAAAGGCCCAAGCCAGGAAGGAGGTGGCCTCTGTAGCCCCAAGGGACAAGGGGCTCCGTAAGATGTCTGGAAACCACTGGCGGCCTGTGGGATGTATGGTAGAGGCAGGATAGGACAGACAGAGAAGAGGGATGGGGTTTGTGCTTCCTTCAAGACCATGGGTGTAGGCCAAGGTTGCTTACACATTGTGGGTGAGCCAGCCAGGGAAGGAACTGTGGGCCTATCTGCCCACACAGAGAAGCTGCTCTGACGGCTTCTCTCCTCACTGGCGATGCTTCTGAAAACGTTTGTGCTCTAATGCTTTAGTTACAGTCTGACCACTTAGCCTTTGCACAGCAGCCGGGCAGGATGGGGTAGAGGGGGGTCACTCCTTTCCACAGCTTTCTTTGGTGTTTCTTTGTTTAAGAAAAAAAGTTACCCATGTAGACCTCTCAACTCCTGCCTGACCAGCTGGGTGCTGCGAAATGGCCGCCAATCCAGGTCAGACATCCTGGATGCAAAGTGCCTTGGTGGGGAGAAATGGCATTGTGTGGAAATCCAGTGTGGTGGTGTAAACACAGGAAGAGTTCTGCAGAGCTCCGCACACGCCTGCCCTCCTCAGGGCATGGCCAGGCAGTCAGGCTGGGACTGAGCTTCAGGACCTGCTGGCTTTAACCACTACAAGATGCTTATTGCAAAGTAGCTGAACCCCATCTGTGGCCAGAAGGGGTAGAGCTACTGGGTTGTTTCCCCTTAAATTTAAAAGACGGGAAGTGACAGGAAGTCCTTGGTCACAAAGACAATGCAAGCAGGAGAGAGAACCTCCCCACACTGGAGTCTTTGCCCGAATTCTAACGGCTTATTCGACAGCAAGGGAAGTCTGGCTAAACTACAGTCAAGAACTTAAGAAAGCCTATGGACAGGCCTTGCTCCTGCCTCTGCAGGAACACCCTGCATGGAGGCTCACCAGACAGAGACTCCCAGAAGGCAGGCTTCTGGGCCCCGTTACTGACTAGACAGTCATTACCAGATCACTCCAAAGCACTAGAAAGCAGAGTCTAGAAGCCCTCTTAAACTTCATGTTTTCCTCTGTGGCCCTGGGTAGTCAGTCACACCCAAACTTCCAATATTGGCTGAAAGTCAAAGAGGTCCATGTTTGCTCTCCAGGCTCTGCCTACAAAAAAAATGAAGGCCCTTTGCCCTGAGGAATGTTCTGGTTCCAACACTTTGCAGTGGCACTCTGATGGCACTGTGTGACTCATGTTAAAGCTCTGACCCTGCGGCTAGCCATTTGTGCCTAAGCTGAATGATGACACGCCTAAGTGGCCCACGGGAGACTGATGTTGCATTGCCATATCAACCAGACAGTATTCGAGAGGAGAGAAACCCCACAGTCTCTAGCACACGAGAGCGAAGCTGCTAATGCACAGGCATGGACTTCAGCTCAGTCGTCACACAGCCGCGGAATCTGGAACACACACTCTAGAAGCTCCAGTATGTAACTTCTGAGCTTCTCCAGAGCTCAGGCTAGTTAGAGACTTGAAAACATTTTGAGTCTTAAGCCATGTAATGTACATGAAAGAGTAGATATCACCCTGAAGGTTTTGCCAACTTACAAAGAGAATGAGTTTAGCTGATGACCTCAGAAACCCATTTTGAGCAGCTGGCATGAAGAAATGTGTTCAGCCCTGCAGACAAACCTTTGCCACCACAGCTGCTGAATGCTCTTCCAGAGCTGCTAAGTGCCCCTCAAGCATTTCAACTTCAAGCCCTTTTAGTTCTCCTGACTATAATTTTACCCATTAAAAAAAACAGAAACAAAAACACTTAAAAAAAGTCCTCATTACAAATAAACTACATGGAAGACCCCTGCAGCTACTGAGGGCTAGCCCTGTGCTTCCTCAGTCCTGGAAAGTGCCGAGGCGTGGGGCATGTACGGGGTCACGCGGTCCTTCCACTCCCTCTCAAGTGCAACCCCAGCCAGCAGGACTTAACTCTCCGTGCAGCTCAAACCCCACACACATTCACCTGGTACATCTGACATGGTTCTGAATTCACAATGAAGGGGGGTGTGGTTTTTGGCATAAAAACATTTTAAAAAGCAACTGTCCCAAAATGCATGTTGGTTTCGATTTGCAATTCCTCACACCCGCCTGTCCGGCCAGCCAGCGGCCAAGGTCGACGTCATGGAGTCAAGTCCTTTTTTTTTTCTTTATCCCCTTAGACAACAAAGGAAAAAAAGAAAAACCACAAAAACAAACAAAACAGGAACATAGAAAGGTAAGCAGAGATGACAGTCAAGGCTCTGCACACTGCTTGGTTTCCGTAGGACATGCTGCTACGGAAACGCAGGGCGCAGCAGCCCCGTGCAGGGCCACACAGCCAGGCATGCGAGGTTGGGCTGGTCCAGGCAGCTACTCCGGCTCCATCGCCTCCTCGGATTGCGGTGGAGGCGTACGCGGTGGGGAGCCAGGGGCTGGAGCCCCCCAACTTTCCACGCGGGGACCACCTTTCACAAGGGCACTTCCTCCTCCCCCACGGGGGCTGGCTCGGGGCCCCGGAGGCTGTCTTCGCTGCCTTGCTTCCTGCTCACCGAACAGAAAATCAGCATTAAGGCTTGGAGAAATGACGGCACAGCCCTGACCTGTCTCCTGCCTTTGCATGCCTCTGCTCCCCTGTGTCACAGCTGATCTTTTAGATGTTCTCCGCATTTCTACTCGCTCACTTAAATATTTTAAAGCTAACTTTGCCTCCCTTGTGAGTGGAGAAGCAAGGTTCACCCAAAAAGAGGTGCCAAGCTGCCTATGGAACATCCCAAATCAGCTCCAGGCCCTACAGTGGGGTATGTTCTCTGGGTCTCTAGTGCTCCCACCTTTCTCTACCCTGTAGGCTAGACGTGTCTGCGGGGTAGAAACTGTGACACATGTCCTGAGTTATTCCCCAGTGAACTGCTGGGACTGTGGCAAGGACCTGTGTGAACTGGCCTGGCACATGGAGCCTTCAGAAAAATCAAGGAACACCCAGCCCACCGTCCAGACTCACAAGAAGGCTCCTGGGAGGGAAGAGAAGACCACTGAACTCTCAGAAAAGTCCCTCAGACCTGGACTAGACCTGCCTACTGTGCCTGCTGTGGATGGAGTTTCAGCGGATGGAAGCCTCTGAGGAGGGGGCTCAGCCCCAGGCTTCCTTCAAGCAGAGTCCGCCTCATTGGAAAAGCTACTGTCCTTGCCATTCAAGGCTACTGTCCAACTCTCAACAATGATCTGTGTACTCCCTACACAGCGGAGGTAAACTGTGGTTCATGCATTCCTAAGAAAGGAACACCGAAGTTTGGGGGTTCCATGATCTGGTCTTTTATTTTTGTATTCCAGAGGTGACGTTCCTGGAAGGAGGCCTTCTCTCCAAGTTGCCACCTGGCACAGGCTGGGTCTCACTGCAGACAGGCATCGTAATCTCCCATGAATAAGCCCTACAGATTCCCAGCCCTCCAAGGTAACCCTAGGGGTGATCTGTGTCTGCAGACCAGGGAATGAGGAGGGAAGGGAGCACCCAGGCAATCTCCATCTACTGGAATCTTGCCATTTTGATCTCACTGAAAACAAACAAAGAAACAAAGAACAGGCTTGCTCACAGTCCATTTGGGAGGCAGCCTTGGTTTTGGCAAGCCTTACCGCAGAGAAAAAGAGAAGGCCCGTGAAAAGTTTCCCTTTCTCATAACACAAAGGTGGGGCTGCAGATCATCTGGGAACAAGGTGGAGACATGGTGGGCATCTCCTCAGCTGCTAATTCAGACACTTCTTCCTGTCAAGACACCATTTCCCAAACAGCAGGTGTCCTCTCACACCACACGAGCACCTGGCTCCTAGGATACAGGTGGCTAATGAACATCCTCCTATGAGGTAATTCCCAACCAAGGGAAAATAGTTCCCATTGCATACACGTGATCACAGCGGGCTCATTCCTTTGGGACAGCCAAGATGGAAACACTGTCCACCAATGGATCCAGATATTACTATCTGTCTAAACACTACTCAGTTATGAAAAGGAATGAAGCTCTGCCGCACGCTGCACTGGGGATAAGCCTTGAAAATGTGTTGCGGAGAGAAAAAAGGCAAACATGAAAGGCCAGAAACCCTGCAGAACGAACAAATTTATAGAAAACCGAATGTGTGTCCGTGGATGCTGGAAAATGGGAGTTGAGTGGACAGAGCTCGGAGGAGGGAGGCTCCTTCCTGGGTGGAAACTATCCTGATGACTACCCCGGTGGCCCTACTGCACACTTCAACCATGAACTATGGAGCACTAACTGCCTCAGTTTGTTCTGCAGTGCTGGGGGTGAAGAAACCGCTGGCTTAGTGCATGCGAAGCAAGCGCTCTACCAAGACCTAGAGCCCTTGAGAAAGCTGTGTGTACACACAAGTTCACACATGTACGGGGTCAGAGGACAACCTGAGGCATCTTCCTCAGGGGCCGTCCACTTTGCTCTTTTGAAGCTAGGCTGACGAAACAATGGGTTCCAGGGATCAGTCTGTCTCTAACTCATCTGGAAACTCATGCTACCTCACCTGGCATTTCACAAGGGTTGTCGGGGGTGAACTCATGCTTCCTCATGCTTGTGTGGAAAACACTTTAACAAACGAGTGATCTCCCTGGCCCCAGGAAAGCTATTTTTTAACAACAGAAGCTGAGAGGAGCTTCCAGTAGTCAGGCAGCCTCATCAGGGTCAGTGAGAAGGATACTGGGGTACATAGCCTGATGGAGGCACTCAAGGGAGCAGGGTTACCGAACAGGTCCACCCCACTTTACAGGGACAAAAGTGTCCATCTGCCTCAGAAGTTGTAGGTAGCACTGGCCTAGATCTGCAGGCAGGAAGAAGGCCCAGATCTTGCTAAGGTTAGTTCTCGGTTTTTACCCACCAGAGTTGCAGAGGAGACCTCGTAAAGAGCCACAAGAGGGCTGCAGGCCTGATCTACGCTCCATGTGCACACTTAGAGCATAGCCCCAGGGCCACAACAGACCTCGCTGCCACTGACGTGCACAGGGACACAGCTCTGCAGTCGGGCCTGAAGACCTGGGTGAGTTTACAGGCATTCCGGTGGAGCGCCATGCACCGCAGCCCACATGCACCACACACCATGGGACCCAAGCCCCTGGATGCCCAGAGGCCCTCTGTGAGCCAGGCACAGCAGCTCAGGCTGAAGGCACATCTGCCTGCTGGAGATGCCCACGTGCTCTGCGGCTGCCCGCCCCAGGCCCTGGCAGAGGGGAGGCGATGGCACAGGCAGGCAGGCAGGCATTACCTTGGGCTCAGACAAGGGCTCCCACTCCCTGGTTGGTTTTTTGCTGGAATTGCCAGAGGAAGGGAAAAGGGAAGTGAGAAGAGACCCTGGGGATGCCCCCGAACCCTAGAGGCAGTAGACCCCTGCACTTGCCACACAAGCCTGGACCAGCATGGTATTTTTGACTGGGTGAATGGACACATGTGTTCACACAGGAAGGCCCAGAGTGAGACCGTATGACCCATCCATCACAATGGCCCTAGAACACTCATGGTTTTGGGGCCACAGAACATGTGTTATACAGTGCTACAACCCAGAGACCTCCCAGAGAGAGAGTAAGTCCTCAGAGGGAGGAGGAACTTCAGGATGGGTGCATGGCCACCAGATGGATGCTAGCTGAGCAGAGAAGGACACAAGAGCAAAGCCAGGACCCGCTGGTGTCCCCAGTGTCTCTCCTGTGATGACCCAGGCCTAGCTTCCAGCATCCCTCCCCCAGACTGGAAGAAAGATGGGGGTCACTCACGTGAGCAGGTTTCCAGGTGCTGACAAGGAACGTTCCTCCCGCCGGCTGCCCTCAAACGGGTTCCCAAAAGAGCGTTTCCGAATCATGGTCTTTACTAGGATCTGAGGAGGAAGAAAGAGAGCGGAGATGGCTGGGCCACAGGGAGAGATTCCACAAACCCTCTTCTCCTCTCTGGTTCCTGACAGCTCCCACGGCTCATGGCGACTCTTGCAGGCCCTTCCTACCCAGTTGCTGTTAGCCAGAACCACCCTGAGCCTGGGAGGTGCTTGCTTCCTGCAGCTTGCTCCCTGGACGCCCTAAGTTCAGGCTCCTGGCTCTAACATGTGGTTTGCCCAGTGACAGCCTACCTAGCTTCAAGACCCTGTACTCCAGGAGTGCTAGCTGAGGTCACCCAAGATCACCCACAAACAAGCTGTTCACATCAGAGTAATCCTTAGGGAAAAGAGGAAGAGTTTTCAAAATTAAGATTGAATTCACAGAGATAAACTTACCATTTTTAAGCGTTCAGAACCTCTAAGCCTACCAAAACCTATGACTGCTCAAGCCCCTTATGGAGAGTTCAGTGTCTGTAATAACCCCTGCATGTCCCCTCACGCACCTTAAACCATCTCTAGCCAACTCTCGACACAGAGTACAACATAAACACCATTGATGTTCCGACATCAGCGAGGGCAGGACAGCAGGTCAGGGTTACACTTTTGCTGCAAACCCAATTTTCTTTTTTCATGTATTTTTGATTGGTGGTTGGTCAAATTTACAAATATGTAAACCAACTATATGTAGCTGAATGGTTTTTAGTTCATTCATATCGCCTTGATCCAGGTTCAGATTTATGTTCCCCTAATGAGAAACCACATACCTGTCAGTAGTCATTCCCTGTATCCTTTCCCTCACAGCCCTTGGCAACTGCAAATCTTCTTGCCTGAATAGATTCACCCATTCTTCCTATAAATGGGACACTATGTTCAACTGGCCCTTTGTGTCTAGTTGTTCGTTCTTTCTTTCTTTCTTTCTTTCTTTCTTTCTTTCTTTCTTTCTTTC